TGAAAATCGAAGGAGCCAAGAGTCGAAGCTAACTACAGGTCCTTTATACCGGTCGAAGGCTAGACTAATCACATCCAAAGTATTCCAGCCTTTTCTATAAAAGAAACGAGTCTAGAACGCTTTGGAGGGGATATTTGTAGGCATCGAAAATTGCCTATAGGTCTCCACGAATGGCTCGGCACTAAGAAAGACGATGAACATCACTATCCAATTCACAGAAGCTTGATTGATGTTAACGAATGCATAAAGTGGATTGACGAACTACGTGGAGTAACGGAGTTTCGGAATAATGAGGATATGAACTGATCGGGAGCCTCGCATCACTTACAAAAGGGGAAGCGCCGTATATGTTCTGGTTTAATCCACAATAATCTAATCATCAGAACTTATAAATCTCCTCGTCGGATTTCCAACGCACTTTGAATCACTTAAATCTGAGTTCAGACGAAGAAATTACGGCGAAAACAGACAAATGCACGGAAAAGAGCATCTCAGCCGGAATTGAGACACCCCAAGGTGTCTCGTCACAAGCGAGACACCCCAAGGTGTCTCGGCCAAGACCGAGACAACCTAGGGTGTCTCGACTAAGGCCGAGACACCCAAGGGAGACAACCTAGGGTGTCTCGGTCTCGCTGAGACACCCAGGGGTGTCTCTAGGCCTAAAAATGGGCTTTTGTGCAGTTTCAACCACCCGAACTTCCTGGAGCCTATAAATACAGCACCAGGGCCTTCATTTTTTAAGATATGGAATTTGAGAGAATTGGCGAACCCTGCCAGACTGAAGACTGAAGGTGTACGGATTTCAGAGAGGAGGAGGAGAGATCGGATCGAGTTCATCGGCATAAAGAAGAGGAGCTCGTCAGATCTGAAGCTCTCGTGTTCGTTCCTTGAGATTACCCTGTTGTGGTGATCTTAAGAAGAGCAATTATCTCGCCGTTGCCGAGATAAGTGCTACGGCTTATTGATTCCTTCGCGAATCAACGAAACTCTACCCAATTTTTTAGCAATCAAATCTGATCGATGGTGGTCTACGGATATCAACATCCCCATCACAGGCCAAGATCCCACGCAAGTAGCGGGCGATAAACACCCGTTGCGTTTGTTTGAAGAGAGTTGTACTTTTTTTTTATTTTTTTCATTGTTTAAGAAAGTCTTATAAAAAGACTAATTTTACTTTGAATCTGTAATCGATAAACGTGTAATAGATTCAGCAATGAAGAAATCAACTTTCACCGCAAACATACCTAATAACCCTCAAGAGCGGTCCTTTATAGGGCGAAAAACCTAGTCAACTTCAGCAAGTTCTAGGCATTCATCCCAGATTGAATAAAACGCCCTTGGTACTTTTTCAGAAATAAACCCAAGGCACAACATGTGGTCGACTCCCACAGTCATCTCTCGATCATCATGGTAATATTAAAAGACCTAGGTCTACGTAAGACCTAGGCACTCAACCTTAAGGTTGTCATTCCGCTGAAAAGCCCTTGGTATCATCATATTAAACCCAAGGTAGGAAGTTCAATGGTTTGACCACCTTCGACAAAAAAGACTTAGGCACTACAAATCGCCAAGTCTTTGTCAACTAAAGGGTCGAACACGTTGCTAACACTAAGGAGCTCAATGAACCAATCGTCTCGACCCTTTCATCAGGTCATTCCAATCTGACCGACTTACCCCAGCCAACACTTGGTTTTTGCAAATAAAGCTATGAGCTAGCAGAGTCAAGCAAAATATGAAGAGTAAAGATAAACTCAAAAATGGAGGCAAAGTCAAATCTTTATTTCAATTAAAGTCGATTACAAGCTTTGTTACAAATCCATGTCCACCTACTATAAGACATGTTGATACATATACAAAAAAGAAAAAGAAGCTAAACAATGCCGGCAAGACGCGATCCCTCAGAGCTCTCGACCATATCGGGGAGCAGAGCTTGGTAGTTGTTCAGCGGTGACAGTAGAGTCGACAGGTTCATTAGCCGCCCTAGAAGAAGAGGCGAAAAGGCCCTCAAGGTCATCCCTCAGCTCATCATCACCACCACAATCACATTATAAGTCGACTTATACTGTTCAAAAGTTGACTTATGACTACATGAGTCGACTCATATGAATTACAAGTCAACTCAGCAGAAGAAAAATAATAATCAACACAAAACTTCATAAGTCGACTTATAACATGCACGATAGATATAGACAATTCTGGAATTTTTGCGTAGCTAGCTTTATAAAATCAATTAAAAATATAAAATCAACTCCAAAAATCATAAAATTTTGAGGAATGTTTCTAAACATGTAGATGAATACGTTAGAGATATAATTTCTTAAATATTACTTCTTATTTGTGAGAAACAATTATATGAACATAGATATTCCAGATTCTAAAAATTACTGAAACATTTAATTTTGTAAAATCAATTTAACATAGTAAATTAACTCTAAAAATAATAAAAATTTGTAAAATTGTTATAAACATGTAATATAACATATTAGAAAAAGAATTTTCAAATTGCGTTTCTCATTTGTGAAACCTCACCTGTTTTGCAAAAACATGCACGAACATGAACTTGTTAAAACTTGATTTTGACGAATTCATTCCAAACAAGTTTTAAATTACTTCCCAAAAGGTTTATAGACTTGATAAAGATATGAAATATTGTTATTAAGTCTATAATCCAAAAACACTATATTTTTCTAAATACAATAGAATATGAAACATATAAATATGTATATAAATATGTTTATTTGTTTCATATGTATATAACTAAACTAAAACCAACTTATCCACATGAAAACAAATAAGTATGTATATAATGTTTGTAAAAACATTGTTTGTGGATAAATCAAAAAACGGATAAACCAATAAATTGTGTGTGTATATAATATTGAGCTTAAAGTATTAAACACAAGTATAAACCTAAACTAATGTATGCAAGAAGAAAATCTTCATTAAGCTTGATCTTTGATAATCCTCCTCTTCATAGTGTGGATGAAGCTTGATCTTGTACTTAACTTGAATATTGCAAGGCTTCATTCCAATTGTCTGCCAACCTCTTTTAGATATCATCGGGAAGACACAATCCAACCAATCTCCAACATCGTTGTTTGTCTAGAATGTCTACTAACAAACACTAGATAAACAATATTAGGAATTGTTTGTAAAGTCATCAAAACAAGATTAGAGATATATGCTCATAAACATGAGACCTAACATCTTGTGCGTGCAGATTGCCCATCAACCCCAACTCAAGAACCAGATACAAAGTTTGGGAAGAAAGCGGCCCCCTTTCATCATCCCACAACTACAACCACATCCAAACAAGGACTCAACAGGCTGTCTGATCATAGTCATCAACAAGGCTCTTTAATCTTTCATATTTTGAATTAGTCCCTCAAATCTTTGAGATTTCTACGTGTCTCCCAATTCTTTAAGTTATTTTGAAATCCCTCATCATTGGAATTTCTGTTACATTCCCCATTTCTCATAGTTGTTTCAAGTTGAACCCTCTAGTTGTGACTTATAGATTTGATTTGAGGGATAAATTTCAAAAAAAGTTAATAATTGGGAGACCTAATAACTAATTTAATGATTTGAGGAACTAATTTCAATATATGAAATAGTTAATGACTAAGAAAACCCTAAACTATTATATTATGCATTATGGGTTTGAGATGGAGTATATCTGTCTCAATTAATTGGACTGGGCATAACTTTTTGGAATGCATCAAGACATGAGTGAGATTGGGCTGGGAATAAGTTTTTTTTTGTAATTTTTACTAAGCGTCTTGAAGCCTGCTCTGCTAACCAAGCTTCACACTATTGTATGCTCATCATCAACCCTACTGGCCCCCTGTTGGGCTCATCCCTGAATATAGCTATGTATAAAAATCTTTTTTTTTTAATGTCTATAACCTTAGGAAAATTTTAGCAAAATTCTAATAGGCTCTTAAAAAAATAAGTTACAACTGGTTAGCAATGGTAAATATATATCATTTACATTTGTTTATATGCTTATTTTTCTCTAAGTTTGTTTGGATTATATTTTATATGCTTATATTTCTTTAAGTTCGTTTAGATTATATTTTGGAACATTATATTATGTATGATCATCATCCAATATGATACTAATATTTATTACATATTTGTGGTATTTCCCGGATTTCTGCTATCCTATATGGATTTTGACTGTTTGATATTCTCTTGATGTATGATATTTAAAAGCTTGATCGTATGTTATTATTCTTGTGTTCTTATTCATGTCATTCAATTTTCACTTTCCTTATCAAAAGCAACTTTTTTTCTTGGTAATACTACTACTATGTATGATCAACACCAAATATAGCGATGGTAATTTACTCAAAATAAAAATATCTACATAGGACACATTTTGAGTTATCAACTGTTTCACGTTCCGTGCACTAAGTGGCGTATAATAAATATGACATTTATTTACAACCACCAAAACCGAACGAGTCATATAGTGCTTAACAACGTTATGGTTAATCTCTGCTCAATATTAGCTTGAAGACTATGCCACAAAGTTTTGCTACCCATGTGACAAGCCTATAATTAGTAGATCCAATTGCCTTTGCTACCCATGCCACAAAGGCGATATAACATTGTTTTGGCTCTTCATCTTCCTTTTTATAATTACCTTTTTCTCTAACAAATTTGAATCAAGAGGATAGGTATGCATAAAATAGATTATAATTATTTCTTTTACAACTATACTTTAGTAGCAGTGGGTGTGGGTCGGGCTGGGTCAGGCCCTACTTCTCTAATCCCGGGTCTAGGGCGGTTCAGACCCTACTTCTCTGATCCCGGGTGTAGGATTGGACCCGGTCTGGCCCATGACCCACCTAGCGGCAGACCGAGTCGGTCTGGACCGAGTTTGTTCAACTTTTTCATATTTTTTTTATTTTTATTTTCTAAACTATATTAACTTTGTATTCATATTTGTATCTATATAAGAAAATATGGAAATTTCTGATTATACTTTTTTGCAGCTCATCCGCAAGCAAAGACAGTGTCTTGGAAATGGTACCCTGGATCAAATTTCGTAGCTTACAGACGGTGGCAGATGATGATTTTAACCATCATCATATTTAGCATGTTTGGAGGCTCATTCGTCTTAGCATGCATTTCACTATGCTTACTAAGACGATGTGAACGTCGTCACCTCAGGTATCAGACAGTTCCAGCCTCAGCCCCAGCCCCAGTTGCAGCACGCGATTTAGAGCGCCAGGAGATCGAAATGTTCGAGATCTCAGCACTCGGTTTAGAGCCCCAGGAGATCGAGATGTTCGAGATCTCAGCTTACGTTGCTCCAAAGAGGGAATCCAGCGAGGACGAAGAGTTGTGCGCGATATGTCTTGAGGAGTATGAGGGTCAGCTGCTTCGAACCTTGACATGTACGCACAAATATCATGCCACGTGCATCGACCGGTGGTTGTCCTCTAACAGGACATGCCCACAGTGTCGACGACGCTACCCTTAGTGTACTTCTTAGCTGCATTGAAGTGTAGGGCATTCTAATTAGTGGTTCCTCATATTCTTTTTCTTCTTCCAGTTATAAAGAATCTGAACTCAGTCTAGTTGCTAACAGCTGTATTGATCGATGTGTTCAAAAATAGATGTTTGTAATCATTTTGTATGAGTTATATTTCGAAGCAAGCATGGATATATGATGGTGAATATTTTTTGAGATTATTGGTGTCACTATTGGCACTCTCTGCGCACAACTATCTCATTATAGCGAGATATACAAGAAATCTGGCATTTATTTGCTAGTGAATATAGAGATCAGGATGAGAACACGTAGGACATTTGGATTGTTAGTTTGGCATTGTATTTTCTATTCAACGTTTATTTGCCTGTTATTTGACGTTGAACATACAGTCGTGCATAGTTTCATTTTTCGTGCAATGCGAAAGCATGTTTTATTAGTTATTTTGTTCGCACTGATAAGAGCAAACAAGTATAGTATATGTACGATGGCAGGAAAGAAAACAACACAAAAGGCTAACATTGTACTGTTCTCATTCAAACTTGGTCTAATATAAAACTTTGGCTAATGGCAGCGTTTCCACCCAAATGTTTATCGTTTCAAAAGAGTTGTTATAGTTAATGGCAATTTATTTTGTAATGCTTTTTAGATTCTCTACCCTCATCTTTGTGCTGCTTCTCAGAAAATTTGATACGAAAGGAGCCCAGCCTTTATCCTCAAACATTTACCGCTTTCTCGGGCCGGGGTTTACTCCTATCTCGGATTTGGTTTAGCGAGTAATTAGTCAGGAATCATATAGGCAGTACTCTCCTATTTTGTCAACTGCACGATGCGTGCATCTGCAAAGGGCTAAAAATATACATCAAATCTCAACCTCAGAAATGCAAGCGCCATGTTTGTATATATCAGAACCGTGCCAACAACATCTACCTTATCTTTAAGTTTCATTTCCCCAAAGTTCACACATGACCTGCGTGTGTTCATCACTATGAAAATCTTGATCAAGTGAAAATTTGGTTTGACGAGATGACGGAAGGTACATGATTAATGCACAGGGTGAAGGAATAGCCGAAATAGTTTTGTCTAAGTGGAGGCTGCTTCGCTGTAGTGCCTCACAGAGGAGGACAATCATTGGTGGCCTCTCCGGACCGTAATGAAGGATATTGTGAGTAGGTTGGGCTTTAAAAAGATAAGACTGAATGAGGAAAGGGTAAACATTAACGTTCTAATTAACTGATATATATTTTTATTTATTATAGCAAACTAATAATATTAATAATAACTCGTATAAAAATGTTGGGACAAATCCGGGGCTCAATAGAGCAGGGTGACAACGACAATAGAGTGGAAGTAATAAAAAGAACACAAAGATTTACATGGAAAATCCTCTAAATAAATTTGGGATAAAAATCACGGGTAATAATAAAAGAATCCACTATGAGAAGAAACTTTGATGTTGCAATCTCTCTTTTACAAGGAGAAACTCTTTATTTTTCTCTCTCACTCTTCTATATGAAGAGTTGTTTCTGGGATGAATTTTTCTGAAGAGTTTTGGTTTATTTATAGTGGCTGGGAAAATACCATGCACTAATTTTATATTAACATTTTACTTTGCACTTTTTCTCTTTTTAAACTTTCGGCCACTTGTCATAAAATTTATTGTGCTAGGGCCCACTCTTTTTTTCATTTCAACATTTTCTGCTAACTTTTTGCTGACAATCTCCCACTTAAAAATTTGATTGAGTATCAATCATATATTCACACCATTCTTCATATGCTTACGTCTTTGATAGACCACAAAACGATCGACACCAAATAAATTTGTTAGTATTGATTGCTTTTGTTAAAAATTATGCTAGGTTAATTTTGGTGTGAATGTTCTGCATATCCACTGCTCCTTCTTCCACTTTCTTACGAACAAAGTAGTACTGAACTTGAATGTGTTTTGTTTTTGAATGAAAGGCTGGATTTCTTGTTAAATGCAAAGCACTCTGACTATCACAAAATAGAAAAAAAAATTTTTTGTTCATACCCGAGTTCCCCTAGCACTATCTTCAACCATATTGTCTCTTTACTAGCTTTTATAGGTACTACATATTCTGTTTCTGTTATTAAAGTAGCCACAACTGACTGCAGTTGTAAAACCTAGCTTACAACGCCGCCAAAAAGTGCAAACACATAGCCTGTGGTTGATTTTCTATTATCATATGATCACCTGTATAATCAGAATCAACATATCCATTGACAATAAAATAGGATCCCTCATAACATAATGCAACATTTGAGGTTCCTTTAATGTATCTTACGATCCTCTTTATAACATTCCAATGCTTTTTACCAATATTCGTCATGTATCGACTAACCACTCCAACTGCTTGTGTAATATCTGGTCTTGTACAAATCATAACGAACATTAGACTTCTCACTTTTGATGCATACAGTACTCGTGACATATCCATCCTCTCTGCTTCACTGTTAGGTAGAAATTGACTTACAATCTTGCATGTTAAAGTGCCGCAAGATTTTCTTTAAATAATTCTTCTAAGATAGCCAAATCTTCCCATTAATTTTGTCTAAATAAATTTTCATCCCTAGAATCTTGTTTACAGATCTTAAATCCTTTATTTCAAATTCTCTAGCCAACTGCGCCTTTAATTCTTTGATACGATTTTTGTTGGGGTCTGCAATCAACTTGTTGTCAACATACAACAATAAGATAACAAAGTTATTTTCACCAAACCTTTTAAAATATGCACAACGGTTTGAATTAAGTCTGTTATATCCAAGGCTCATGATGAATGAATCAAATCTCTTATACCAACACCTCGGCGTTTTCTTTAGACCGTATAGATATTTTTAATCTGCAAACCAAGTTCTCTTTTTCTTATTCTTCAAAACCTTCTGGTTGGAGAATGTAAATTTCTTCTTTAAGATCTCCATAAAAATATATATTTTTATATCTAGCTGCTCTAGATGTAAGTCAAATATAACGCTCATAGCCAATACTGTTCGAACTGTTGTAAGTCGAACTATAGAAGAAAATATTTTATTAAAGTCAATACCTTCTTTCCGAGCATATCCTTTTACCACCAATCTAGCACGATATCGATCCACTTGATCATCGCCATTTCATTTGATTTTATAGATCTATTTATTTCCAATGGTCTTTCTTCATTATGATAGTGACACAAGTAACCAAGTCTTATTCTTATTGAGAGCTTCAATTTCTTCTTGCATTGTTTCCATCAACAAAGATGCATATGAGCTATTTATAGCTTCATAAAAAGTTTATTAGAAAATAGTATGCAACATTACTCTCTGTAATATATTCCGAGTGCCAAGTCAGTGGTCTTCTCACACGAGTTGATCTTTGAACTTCTGGAGCCTCAAACTCGACTGGTTCTTGTATATCATACTCCGGTGGTTCTTCAGAAAAATTCACATTATTTTCTACATGAACAGCTACAGTCTCTGAGTCTTTCATCGAACTATTTTTTTCTTTTGCTTCACTTTATAGCTGATTCTCTACAAAGATAATATATCTGCTGATAATAACCTTGCGGATAGTGGGATCACACAAGCGATACCTCTTTACTCCATCAGCATACCCCAAGAATTTGCATATTCTAGATTTTGAATCCAGTTTTGTAATTTCTTGGGCATTGTACATTGCATACACTGGTCTTTTAAATATATAGAGGTTGAAATATTCAGCTGACAAAGCGTGTGTGAACAGAATCTCGGATATCAAAGTTTTGTGTCAGGGACGGGCTTCTGAATGGTGCATTTTAGCGGGCGATTTTTCCTTCGCTAACGTGCACCTCCGCCAAGATTTCAATGGTGAAGAAGAAGAAGAGCAGTAGCAACAGGTTATTGAATAGTGAGCTGAGGGACTTTATCTTTGTTTACCCTACCTTTGCTAGCATCGGGGCATCGTCTAGTGTAGATCTTGATCCCGATGTAATAGTAAACTCCATGGAAGCGACTGAAATTATGGAAAGCACAGGGCCAAAGGGAGCGAAGAAGAAGCTGCTAATGAGTGAGATCTTATCCAGAGCTAATCCTCTTTCAGATCCTTTGGTTGCTCCTGGTGATTTGATTGAACGGTAGCTGAGTAAGTCTTCTAATCTTTCCCATTGGGCAGATGAAGTTGATGATGAGGTTGAATCTGGTTTAATTAGAGAATCAACATCTTTTGTGGAATCTGATGATGTTGAGTCTCAGATTGATCTTCAAAATATTGATAAGAATATTGATCTGGAGAAATCTGCTACGGAATTGGATAAGAGTGAATCATTAAATGGCAAAAATACAAACTCTCGAATGCAGAAAACATTTGTTAGTCTTTTTGCTGATAACAGGAAATCTGGGAATGGATTACCTCTAAATTTTTTGCCATCTTCTCAAACTAATGCAGTTGTTTTTTCTGAGGAAGAATGGAAAGAGGGAGAGGATTTATGGAAATTCACACTCATTGGTCATGTTATTGGTCTGAATGTAAGTTTTAAGTCCATGGAAGCTTATATTAACAAGAATTGGGGTAAAATTTCAATTCCGAAAATTTCTTTGATCAAACAGGGCTTATTCCTCTTTGATTTCCAAACAGATCATCAAATGAGAGGTATTTTGGAAGCAGATCCATGGTTCTTTGGTTCTAGACCCTTGATGTTAAAACCATGGACTATTGAAACTGATTTGGAGAAAATTTTAGATTATAGCTATCCTATATGGGTTCAACTTCCTAATCTGAGAATCAATCTTTGGAGCTCCACTGGAATTAGCAAAGTTGCTAGCCTCATTGGCAAACCAATCACCACAGATAAACTCACTGCAACTAGACAAAGATTGAGTTATGCTAGAGTATTACTAGAGGTGCAATTGCCTTTAAAAGAGCCCCTTCCTTATACTATCACTATTCAGGGTCCAGATGGCAAGAATTATAATCAAAAAGTTCTTTATGAGCTTAAACCTAGATGGTGTTCTCTATGTAATATTTTTGGGCATGAGACTGAATTCTGTAGAAGGCAGACTACTAGAAAGCAATGGGTCAGGAAGTAATCTGGAACAGGTTCAGTTACTCAACCTGTTAATCAGGATATGAATGTTGCACATACTACTGGCAAAGTATTAAATGCTCAAGCAGGAATGTATGGAAAGTCTGG